CTAAAAGTTGCATCTCCTATGCTGAAGCAAGCAAATTGCATGCTCCTTCTATTAAATCATATGCTGACACTCTAAGATCTAATCCAGTCATTGTAAATAGTACAGTAAACTCAAACCAGGATGGAATTCATAATGTAATTTCTCCTCATTCTAATAAATCTTATAAAAAAACCGTCATAGAAAAAATTCGTCGTCCTCCAAAACCCTCCTATGGGTTTGATCGTAGTGAATATATTACTTTAACAAAAGACTACAATCCTCCTGCTCCTGCAGATGGATGTGGTTATAAACAGCAAGATGAATCTAAACAATCTATTTCTGAAATAGTAATAGCTCTTTTAAATTTATTAACACAATTTAATATCATTCCACCGTCCAACGTTGCTTCTCTTTCAAATGCATTCATTAATATTTTAAATAATAAAAGGAACGGACAACCAAGCCAAAGTTCTGCAGTGGAACTGCCGTAGTGCAGTTAGTAAAAAAACAGATTTAATCTATTTAATAAACATGTACAAATCTCTTATATGTGCTCTTCAGGAGACATGGTTAAAACCCGTATCTTCATTTAGGATACCTGGTTATGCCTGTCTCCGTGAGGACAGATCTGATGGGTATGGTGGTGTGGCCATATTGGTCAGACATCCTTCATCCTTCACCCATATTCCAATTTTAAACCATAGTAATAATTTCTCATTAATTGCTGTTCAAGTTGATAATATTTGTTATGTCTCTGTATACATTCCTCATCCATCCTTATTAATATTTAATGAAATTAACAATATTATTTCTACTCTTCCCAAACCATTTTTAGTTTTAGGTGACTTTAATGCTCAACACCAATCCTGGGGTAGCTCTAATAGTAATTGCTATGGCAATGAAATCTTAGATTTGATAGATTCTCTCAACCTATGCATATTAAATACTGGTTGTCCTACCCGTCGCTCAATGCCTAATGAAGGCAACAGTGCTCCTGATTTATCCATATGTACCCCTAATTTAGCTTCTTCTCTTACTTGGCTCACATTATCTCTATCCTTTGGTAGTGATCACTTCCCTATTTTAATTACTTTTCCTTTCAAATTACAACCAACATCAAATTATACTTCAAGTAAGAAGTATAATTTGAATAATGTGGACTGGGACCTGTATTTAAATTATATCAAAAATAAAATTCCTACTCTTCCTGTAATATCTACAGATAATGAAAATGAGTGCTCTGATGCTTTTATAGCATTACTAACAGAATCTGCAGACCAATTTTTCCCTAAGATAGGTAACTCAAGAAAAGGGATCCCATCTCCACCATGGTGGGATAATGATTGTACAGTGGCAGTTAAAAAAAGAAAAGAGGCTGAGAGAGCATACAATCTGAACTCCACATGGGATAATTTTAACAAATACTCTGAGATTCTTAAAAGTACTCGTAAACTCTTAAAAGATAAGAAACTTGCAGGATGGCAAAATTTTTGTTCTTCAATTTCTCCTAATGTTAACCCTTCAAAAGTCTGGAGTAATATTAGAAGGTTTAGAAGTGCTTTTAAAGATTCTAGGTCAAATGTTCTTCTGCCCTCACTTATAGAACCATTTTTAGATAGGCTGGCTCCTCCTTATGTGCCAGAAAAAGGTTTGTTAATTAACTCTTTAGATATTTCCCAGTTAGATAACACAACACTTGGTTCTCCTTTCACTCTAGGTGAATTTAAGGCAGTATTATCTAAGGTTAAAGATTCTGCTCCAGGTGAGGATGGAATTCCATACTCTTTCTTTACCCATCTTGACAATCTTTCCCTCAATTATTATTTAGATTTAATTAATTCTATTATGATATCTGGTAATATCCCTAAATCATGGAAGTCACAACAAATAATCGCAATTCTCAAACCAGACAAACCTCCTTCAGATACTGCATCTTATCGCCCTATAGCCCTTTCTTCAGTTTTAATAAAATTGGCAGAACATTTAACAAAAAACCGATTAGAATGGTTCGTTGAGTATAATGAATTACTATCTAATAGTCAGTATGGTTTTAGAAAAGGGAAGAGTACGCTTGATAGTTTAAGTTTGCTGACAACTGATATCCGCTTAGCTTTCACTGAAAATAATTCAATTGTTGCAGCCTTTCTGGATATCAAAGTCGCTTATGACAATGTCTCCATATCTCTACTGAAAAATAAACTTATTGCTCTAAATATTTCACCCATCTTAATTAATTTCATCATTAATATTTTAACAGAACGGTCAATTAGTATTAATAATATTGATGTCAAACACTCAAGAGTTCTTTGGAAGGGGCTTCCTCGAGGATCAGTGTTAAGTCCCATTTTGTACAATATATATACACATGATTTAGAAAATTCAATACTCAATGATTTTAAATTTAAAATTAACATTTTACAATATGCTGATGACCTTCTTTTTTATGCCATTGACAGTTCTGTTCAGAAATGCTGTACAATTCTTACAGCAGCATTAGAGCGTTTAAAAATTTGGTTAGATAAAAATAGTTTAGAGTTGTCCGTAACAAAAAGCTCTATAGTTCATTTTTCCAGAATGCGAATGCCCCCTCCAATTACAATTTACTTTAATAATAAATTAATTCCAGTTAAATCACAAATTATCTTTTTGGGATTAACTCTAGATTCAAAACTTTCGGGACTTCCTCATATTGAAAAAGTTGTTCTAAAGTGTGAAAAATTACTAAATATATTAAGATGTTTATCCGGTGTCTGGTGGGGTGCCCATCCATATTCTTTGAAACTAATCTATAATGCCATTATTAGAAGTATTTTAGATTATGGTACTTTTCTCTTAGAACCGTGTAGTGCGGCTGGGTTAAGAAAATTAGATTTAATTCAATCTAAAGCGCTGAGAATTATAACTGGAGCTATGAAATCGAGCCCAATAAATGTCCTTCAAGCTGAATGCTGTGATCCTCCTTTAAACCTGAGACGTCAATTTATTTCAGATAAATATTTATTCCGTATATCTCAATACTCTGAACATCCACTTTTTTCTAAATTACAAAAGTTAACTGAATACTGTGAAAACATGGATTATTGGCGTCATAAATCCACTCCTTGTCTGGTAAAAAGTTTTAAAAACTTTCTTCTCTTTCTCCTCTTCATAGTTACCGTAAGTTCCCGTTTTTCTGTGCAACCTATGAAGCATTAACTCTCTCTCCAGAAGTTGAATTAAATATTAACATAACTAAAGGTGATCCCAATGCAAGTGTCATTTTTAACTCTTACATGTTTTTCAATAAAAAAGACCACCATCATATTTTTTGTGATGCATCTAAGCATGACTCATCTGGATGTGTTGGTGTTGGAGTTTACCATAATCAATTCAATATAGTTCAAAAAGTTAAACTTCCTCCTGAGACATCTATTTTTACAGGAGAATGTTTTGGTATGTTCAAAGCCATTGATTACGTTCTGACTATGAAACTTAAACAATCGGTAATCATCAGTGATTCCTTAAGTGCTTTACAATCACTATTGCAGTCTCCATTCAAATCAAATAAAATCCATCCGGTAATTATAGAAATTAGAAGGTTATTGCAGATGTGTCTTTGTAGAGGGTATTTGATCTCTTTCGTTTGGATTCCAGGCCATTCTGGTATTCATGGAAATATGACCGCAGATAGACTTGCTAATGAGGCTATTGGGTGCGGTGATATCTTTCCTTATAAAATCTTCAGTCATGACTTGGCGGCTTTGCCTGGCTCCTTTCTCCGAAATACTTGGAATGAGTCTTGGCTTATTAGCTGTCAAGTTAAGGCCCATCATTACTTTAGTATTCAGCCTATTATTCCTTGTAAACCATGGTTTTACCGTATTAATAGTATTAATAAACGTGGTACGTCTTCTCTTATTAGAATGAGACTTGGCCATGTGAGTTCCCCTTCTCATTTGGCTAAGTTAAAAATTGTGAATAATAATATATGCAATTGTGGCACAGATGTGGGTGATTTGAATCACATTCTCTTAAATTGTCCTCTCTATGACCATTCTGTTCTTTTTAATTCCCTCCTTTCCCTCCGTATTCCCTTACCTACATCAGTTCCAGTATTATTGTTTCTTGATAATTTAGAAGTATATAATTTGATTTCATCTTTTATTCTTATCAATAATATTAAGTTGTAAATTATCTTATTTTATGTACTTTTCATATACATATATATTTTTAAGGTTAAATATATTGTAATTTCTATTTAGATATCTGTCCTTTTCATTATATTATCCATCATTCAACTTTTCTGATCCTTATCGGATGCACTTTGTGCCGTGCCATAAGAAAAGAAAAGAAAAAAAAAAAAAAAAAAAAAAAAAAAAAAAAAAAGAACATATTTTTCTTCGGAGTGGATTTTTTTGCTAAATAAGGATGTTCGTCTAATAATGGTGCCACATCCGAATAAATTTCATTTTGCATATTAAATTTGACTATTAAGATGGCAGATAATGTTTTTACACAAAGTTGCGACTTCTCACTGCTCCAATAATCATTCCCTAGTGAAAATACCCTTTCAAAAGCAGCATTAGAGCCTTGACAACATAAAAAAAATCTATTAAAACTTTTAAATTTTCATGTGGGATATGTTATACCTACTGAAATTCTAATGAAATTCAAATCACTGTCAAAATAATTTTAAATATTTAATTAATAAAATAGAAATAAAATAATAATAAAAAAAATGTTTTAGAAATATAAATGGGTATTTTCAGACTACAGGATTTGAAAAGAGCACGGTTTGCGAAAAAATACAAAACTCAGTCAATGAGTATAGTTGGTCACCTTACCAGTGAGGGATGATAGATGAGGATAAAAGCAAGCCAGTTAATTTATCGGCACGAATTCTACAAGAATTAACCAATATGGTCTCTGTGCGAAATCAAAATCAAATCAAATCATATTTATTCGCTTGCTACATGGTACAATAAGACGTTACATACATATACAGGCACACAACATGCAGCACCCCGCAGAGGTATGCAAATGTTAAAATGGTTTTAAGTCTACATTATATTACAATTATAAGTCCAAACATTTTCCAAATTACAATATTCTCTATGTCAAATTATCAATAAACTTATGGTTTATATTTTAAGTAATTTTTAATACATTACATATTTTATTACATTTTTTGTCATTTAAATATTCAATAACTGTATAATAGCACTTTTCCAAAAGAAAGTGAAATAAGTTTGATCTAAATCTCTCTATCGGAAGATCCTTTATTTCTAAAGGTAACTTATTGTATACCCGTATTGCCATTGGATAACAGCTGTCACTATACAATGTTGTTGACATTGCGGGCAGCACCAGTTTATCTGGGAATCTTCTACGATAGTTATCAATTACGTTACAGTTAACTTCAAATAAATATAAGTGCGTTTTTACAAATATACATAATTCATATATATACATACTAGGCACTGGTAATATTTTTAATGTTTTAAAGCTTGGTTTACAGCTTGTTCTCTGAGATATTCTACATATGGAACGAATACATTTTTTTTGGGCAATAAAAGCTCTTGCTGCATCTACAGAGTTGCCCCATATTAAGATACCATATCTGAGAATAGAAGCCACATACCCATGGTATGCCAGTAAAACAGTTTTTTTATCAGTTATATTTACTAGGCGCCATAAACCGTATGCAAATGTATTAATCTTACCACATAGTCTATGTATATGCGACTTCCATGTACAACAATTGTCTAGTGTTACACCTAAAAATCTAACTTCATTACTTTCAGCAATGATCTGTCCCTTATATTCTATAGAGAGGTCAATAATCTTATTATTTCGTTGGTTATAAAATTGTATATATTTTGTTTTGTTTAAATTTGCTTTCAAATTATTATTACTTAGCCAATTAATAACTTCTGTTACAGTTTGATTAATTTCATTTTTTATATTCATTTACAGAATTATATATATTGGGTACAACAACAGACAAGTCGTCAGCAAATAATGTACAATAATGCTTTGTAGCCTTTGGGAGATCGTTAATATAGAGTAGAAACAATAATGGTCCCAAGACACTACCTTGCGGTACTCCAGTATGCCTTTCTACAGTATCTGATTTAAATGGTGTTTCATTGTAATCAGCATCCAGATTTGTTAGCTCCACATATTGATATCTGTTACTTAAATAACTTTTTATCCAATTATAAGTATTTCCTCTAAGTCCGTATTTTTCACATTTTGATAAAAGTAGTTCATGCGATACATAATCAAAAGCCTTGCTCATGTCAAAAAAAATTGTTGTTACTTCAATGGATTTGTCGGCGTAACGTAAAATTGTATCAACAAGTTTAAAAATTGCCAGTGCAGTGGATTTTCCTTTTTGAAAACCATTTTGATTTTCATCTAAGATACCCATTTTTTTAATAAAATGAAAATAGCGTGCGAAATAGCGTGGAAGTCGACTTGATAGAATATATTGTTAGGAATGAAGCTATTAGATTCTTATAACTAACAATCCTTTTCCCCTCTAATTTAGTACTTATAAATACAATAAAATATATGAATGGAGGTAGCAATATAGATAATAAGCTTAGATTATATAGATAATGTCTCCTTAGAAATGTTTTGGGAAAAACGGATCAACTATTTCATACAATTTTGCGTGATAAATAATTATGAGTACTTTATAACTTCTATATTTATTTTATCATATAATTTCTGCATCTTTTTAATGCGTAAATACGTATTATTTATTAAATAACAAGTTAAGATACATTTTATGCGTTAGCATATAGAATAGTGATAAAAAACGAGTCAGTAATTTGACAATTAGCTGACAAAAAGTTGACCTGTTTTTGGGGCTCGATGCTCTATCTGTATAATTTAAAATAATAAGAGGAGTAAAATAAACTAAAAGTAGAAACGGAAAAAATAGTTTTCTTTTTTGTTCTTTTTGTGACACATAGCAAATAAAATAAAAATGAATAGAGAATAAAAAATGACAGAACATTATGACTGATTAAAAGTTCTGAAAGTCGTATCGATTTTGTGAATATATTTTTGATGTTAACTAGAATCAAAATTTGTATCTAGCAACTTTGAAGTCAAAATTGGCCGTTGTTTGAGCTGTATAATTGGCCCATTTCTATAGTTTGCTGATCCTTCGGCCCATCGGGCTCTAAATTTAAATCATCTTTATTCAGACTTATTTACTATAAATCGTATTTTTTTTCTAATTTACTGCAGGGTTCGGAAAGTTATTATCTGTTAAGAAGCCCGCAAGAAACTCAACAGTTATAGTTTAAATGTACTGTGTAAATCACTCAATCTAGTTCACTTATTTTAAAAATACATATTAAATAACGAAACTAAGTGAAACAAGGATTATATGAATATTTATTTTATTAATTATACAACAAATAAAAAAAAAACGTAACAATACTTATAACTTTGTTAGTTATTTATATTTTTTAATTTCTTGAACCATATTTTTTAATGCAGGTAACTCCACTTTAAGTTTATCTTCAACATCAACTTTCTCTTCTGCAGAAGATGTCAAAAATTTTGCAACTAACTCTGGAAATTATTTATAACATTTAATAAACATATGTATACTTTCATATTAATTACAATTCTTCATACATATTTTTAAATGAATTTCATCAATTTTGTTTCAAGAAAAAAATATTTTAAATTATTATTTGCACATTTTCCATTAATATGTTTTGTAGCAGGTTTTAATTTTCTTCACATTTTCCTGCTTTTGTATTTTTATATTATATATAATATTTAAAACATTCAAACCATTATAAACCCACATAAATAGGTTTTAATGGTAGTACTATGCAGTGGCCATGAAATAGTAAGGCAACAATTTAAACCTACTGGTACCACAAAGATCTATAAATGATAAAACTACAAAACAGTGATTTGAAGATACAAACCATGATAATACTGAAGTCTTTGAAAGTCCTCTTCTTTGATTTGTGTCTTTAAAAATGATATTACTATTGGAACTTGCCTACCTGAGGCATGTAACATATTTTGAGTTAAAATAGTAAATATTGCTAAAACAGCAATATGTAAACACAATGCAGGCTCATCACAAACTTCTAGCTCTGATATCAACTTTTCTCTGTGATTTTGAATTAATAACCTGAAAGAAAATTTACCAACATTTTGAACAAAAATTAATCTTGTTGAGAATGATTGTGCCGTTTTGATGTTGATGTTGAGAACCAATTTCTTTTAACTACTGTTGTTTAATGTATATCTTGTTTAATAAATAGGTTCAAAATTTTGGTATGGCAACTTTAATGAATGATGAGAAGTTTTAAAGAGAATTTTAAAAAATGTGTAATTATAAAATAAATAGATATATAGGTACAAACTTGTCTTTCTTTTTATCCACTTTCTTCAATATCATGCCACATTCCGACAAACATACATCAACAGCTTGATAAAACAACTCCATATTTTGATCAGATAGAGTAGCATTTAAAGCAACCAAGGTCTTTTTATATTCATCAGGTAGGTCATTTATGATCTTATTTCTCTGCTCAATTGTAAGTGTATCAACTTGAACAGAAAGGTTACATTGGTTTCCTGCATATTTACAGAATTCAGCAAGAATATCACCACCCAATGATTTTAGTAAGTATTTAATGAATTGTGGTTGCTGATCAGATGGCATTAACTTAAAGCCTTTCTCATATAGTTTTATGTCATTAATTAAAATATTGATTTTGTCTTGAGCAAAACTATGGGTTTGTTTTCTGTTTTGACTGGTGTCCTGAATAAGTTTATCAGCAATTTCTTTGGCTAACGCCAAAGCAGATTGGTTGAGGCTCCTGTAATTTTATATAATTATACAAATTAAATGAATGTTGCATTAAAAAATTTTGTAATTACACACTATATTGTAAAGAGATTTACTTAATTTATTTATTAAACTTCAATTCACCTACCCATGTGCCATGTGGTATCGGCATAGAATAGACGACCATTGCCTTTCCTGTGTGTCGTAAGAGGTGACTAAGAGAACTTAAATATCGAGGGATGAGCAGCAACATCCCTTTTAAAATATTACCAAACGCCAAACAGTGAATGCCAAGTAAGGCAACTACAAACAAAACCCGCCTTATTGTTTAGCAGTGGGCAATAGGTTTGGGAAATATCACTTTTTTGCAATATTGAATTGGTACTGGTTATTTAACTTGAATATCAGATATTATAACTATATATTTCAGTATTTTGTATCCCTAAAAAAATAGCAGCTTACCCAGCTCCTTTTACCTACACATTTCATTTTAAATTGTTTAATGTTATTTATGGTACACACTTATTATTTTCAATAACTTAAAAAAAAAATGTTTACTTAGTAATCCTACTTACCCAACCCATGAATTAAGTGGATACAGTTATTAAGAAGATGATCCTTGTTGTTGTATTACCTGCCCATTGCTAAAAATAGCCTCCTCCATAAGGGGGGTTTTGCCAGTAGGTTCCACGCTTGGCAGACAGGGTGGCAATCACAGTTTGGCTTTTGGTGATATTTTAAGAGGAATAATACTGCCTATCCTTATACCATAAGCTCCCTTGGTCACCTCATATGACACTTACAGGAAAGGAAGGGGTGGCCTATGTTATCCCGTGACCTACACAGCACAATGATCCTTAATGTTATTTAAATATTTTTTTAGTTACTAATCATTATTGTTTTAGGATTCTCCACTTTTAAAAACCAAAATATACATCTGAGCACCTACTTAGATTTGATTATTGTTATAATTAAGTAGCCTGGGACAAAAAGTAACAAGTATACTGTTTTCATTTATCAAACATCTGAGCTAATGATTAACTTACCAATGCTCAATAATATAGTTGCTTTGAGAATTCCGCTTTTTTTGCAAATGACAAAGAACATAGGAACCACGGCAGTTCTCATAGATTTTATAAAAGATGTAACAAAATAAGTAGAAATCTGTTGATGTTCATAAAAGTAAATAATTTCTCCAAAAATATGAAAATATATTTTGAAAATTACAAAACATACCTTTGAATATATTCAGATATTGGAGTTAATAGATCATCAAGTCCTTCATTTTCCAATGTTTCTTTGATAATTGTTTCTACATCTTCAGTAGTGATGATTTCCAAATCAGCTTTGTTTTTTTTAGACATATTAGGTGATTCATCCGAATCTGAATCATGAGCAGCTTGCTTGGATTTTGTATGTTTTTTAACAGCTTTAGTTTTAGTTTCTCTACCTTGAGTACCACCACCACCTTTGCCTGATGCAGCTTTTCTTCTACGTTCCTCTCTTCTCTCAGCTTTATGGTCAATATATGTTGTTTGTGACATCTCTGTTGCCTTATTAATTTGCTTTTCCAAGTAAAACTGTTGATATTTTCCTGATTTTACTACAGCTTCTGCTTTCTTTTCAGCCATTAGCATACAGTTTTGTTTCAGATTTTCAATGAAATGGTTGCTGAAAACTAAAGAATCATGTTTAAAAATCAGAAGAATCCTATTTCTGTGTATATGTTTATTATTTAATAAAATAAAAATACCTGTGTTTTCAAATAATATAGTACTTTTAGAATTATTTTTTAGTAATTCATCAAGAACATTTATGATATCACTATCAGATAGCACAGAAGGCAGTAATGAAACAACATCCATATAGCTTTTAGACAAAATACAATCTTCCAATGCTGTGTCTAATTGTAGTTTTATTTGTGAACCAATTACACAACTGCTAAGGAAAGTAAGGTCTTCATTTACCAAAATTCTTTTCACATAACCTTTTGGATCAGATATTCCTAAACGTGACAAAGCATCATATTCAAGATAATTATTTTGTTTGAAAAAGTTTATGACCCAATCATTTTGAGATTTGGAATAACACGATGGCACATAAAGTGCACCTGCCTGACGTCCTGTTAAAACCCCAGGTGCATTGATTTGGTCAAATAAGTTCATAAACAAGCGGTCTGCAAGGTTGCAGTGATTGATTATTACAGTAACAGGAGTTGGCTTCAATAATCCTGTCAATGCCCCACGGATCTTTGCTTTTGTTCGGGTAATGTATTCCTCAGTATAAAATATTCTAGGGTCAGAGGAGTCTTGTTTTCCAATGATAATTTTCCCTAAATATTTCTCTAATATATTATGCTGTAATAATTCTGCTGGTAAATCATACTGTAGTGTCAATTCTCCTACAGTTATCTGGCCTTGTAATTGTAGTTTTTCATTAATTTCTCTTGCAATCTTTTCTAAATAGTATTGAGCTATTAAATAACCTGAAACAAGTTGAACTTCTTTTCCTTTGACAATCTCGGCAACACTAGCATTGATTTGGTTGAGGTCTACATTCAGCTCTTTAGCGAGGTCAACTGTATTGATGCGACCACCATGTACATATAGTTCATCTTTTATTTCTTTCAATAGTTGTTGTGAGGTTAAATATTCTTTTCCATCAGTTGTAAATATAACATCAATTAGTTTTAGTTCAATAAGTTTTGTGACAATCTCTACACAGTTTCTTTCTGACAATCTGTAAAATATTAATTATTATTTAACTCTTTATTGCACCTTAATTCAACTGAAATACAATAAATAACATAAATACAGATTTAAATATATATATATAAAGGTACAAAAGGCGGTCTTATCACTAGGACAATCTCTTACAGACAACCTTTGCTTAAACGAGAACAGATAGAATGTGACTCGAATTATATCCTTATATTATTAACTAAATTAATAAATAGCGAAATGGGCTATACTTGTAATTTTAACACTATGTTTCTGAAAAGAAAACTGTCACCTTTGAGTAGTAGAACTTAGCTGGGCTTTTTGAAAATCAGCTGCTAAACGTTTAATTTCATCCCAGTCCGTAGATGGAGGCATGATTGTGGTATTTTAACACTTTTTAATTAAAGTATTTATTATTTATGTCGAAATTTAATACGCAAATAAGAAAAAAGCAGATACAATACAGTAATACAAAGAAATTAAGTAAAGATTCATTCCAATCTGGACAAATCAGAATTAACACAAGGCGACACGTATATAAATATGACCATAGATTAGAGAGACTATGTTTAAAGCTAAGGTTTAATAGGGTTTAAAGACATAAACCTAAACCTACATTTACAGAGCAAGTAATCAAATTTCTATTGTATAAGAGTTGGTAATGGTCTTATATCCATAAAGTTTGAAAAAATAATGTATGTTACCTTATCGAACCAACAATAACATACAATACCTGCTTCTATCCAAAATATCGACGTCGACTGTTATCATAAAAGTTCTATTTCGTGATGTAAAATTTTTAAATTTTGTTAATGTAAGTACCTACATTTAAATGTATATACACTTAAAATCAATAGGGTTTGTAATATTATTATAATTACAAGTAATTATAACATAAATAAAATTATTTTATTTGTTAATTAGTTTGTTATTATAGTTGTACTACAAATATAATTAACTATTTATACAACATAATTTTGACTTCTATTTATTTTCATCATCATCATCATCATCATTTCAGCTATTATTCGTCCACTGCCAGACACAAGCTTCTCCCATAGACTGCCATAAGGAACCACCTGCATCCACTAACTCCTTACAATGCGTTTGAGATCGTCACTCCATCTAGTGGGTGTCGTCCTATACTGCATTGCCCATATGGGTTCGCTACTTAAGAATCTTTCTTTCTTTGTTTCGGTTGTCGATTCTTCAAGCTATATGACCATTCCATTGCCACTTCAGCTTGCTTATCCTTTTAAATGTGTCTGTTACTTTGGTTCTTTTGCAAATATCCTCGTTTCAGATTTTATCACGAAAAAAGACTCTGAGTATAACCCTCTTAATAGCCCGTTGAATAATTAGAAGTTTTTGTATGCGGGCAATCATTTATAACCATGTTTCGATTCCATAAATCTTCACTGGCAACACGCACTAATTAAATACCTTCATCTTCAAAGTTTGAGGAATTTTGAATATAAAGATTCGTCGGTTGACCTCTCAGTCGAAGTTGCACTTACCTATTCGGACAACTTCGGTTGCACACAACCATTTTACATATTTTGTTTAAAGTAATAGGTGGCCAACGTCGTTGGTGGCACTAAAATTATTGAATATTTAGATATATATGTATATATGTTGTTATTGTGTCTACTGTTTTTTGACCTAAATAAAGAGAAAAAAACTGGTCCCAGGTATATATACTCGTCGACAACTTTGAACTGCGTAGTGTCCTCAATCGTAACCGGTAGAAGTATGACATGGACGTTAAACATGATTTTAGTTTTGTCCATGTTGTTGACCTATCTGTTGAGAAGCACGATTGAGGTCATGGAGTACAATATGCAAATCTTTCAGGGATTTCAGTGAGTGTTATATTCGCCATTAATGTTCATACCATATCTTTTCCGCTCCAAGAATTTGTAAACACCTTCCAATGCAGCGATGAAGAGTTTCAAAGATATGACGACTCTGATTCTATACTCGCATAGACATCATAACCTTACTGTACATACACTTCATCACTTCGATATACCTATAGTCAACCCGCACTGTTGGAGGGACTGTAGTACCGCCCATGTCTCAACCTAATCAAAAACTTTATCATAAACAGCAAACGCCAGACATAGAACATATTCGCCTGTCATGGTCAAGAAATATAATACTTTATAATATAAAATATTTATTTAAGATGGTCATGATCCGCCATGTTGGAGTTTATTAATACTGGCTGATAACGGTAACATAGTTTCATACATAAAAATATTTCATATATACTTACACACATACTTACACAAGTGTGTATCTTATGTTCAATTGTTTAATAATTAAGTTCACGTCATTTCAAACAAAAAATGCATTTAGGATGGCGTACTTCTGATGACGATAACGGTTATTATCGATTTTAGTGTCATTCACATCGGTTCCACCAGATTCGACATCAATATACCGGGTTTCTAAAAAGTCTCATAACATTAGTTGGCGCCTGTTTCTAACCTCGACGTCCCCGCAGACTGTCTGATCTCGCTGCTTTCTAAGGCTGATATCGATTGTATTTATACTGTTGATACTTCCATATGGGAAAAAAAGATTATTAGCAATGGGGTTTAATTGTCCCATTGCTAGTAATACACTCCATCAGGTCGACCTCCATGCGGTTCCCTCTCGAAACCAACGTGGTTAAATCTAGTAAATTTAACTAACTGACCTGTATCTATCGTTACCTATCATCCATCCCTGGTGTCCCGTCAGTGTATACCGTTAATGCAGGCAGAATTACCATTTTATTGTCACCTATTAAAAAATATACTTCCATGTTGTTCCATAGATTTATATTCAGCTTCATTAAAATAAGGATTGTGCCAACTCTTAAATATGACGTAGTGTCCGTATCTGTCAATCTATATTAATACAGAGTATGTAAGACAGCTAAGCCGTCAGACCCTAAGAACAAGGAGTTACATAGGAGTGATAAAATTATGAATTCATAGTAGGCTAATGTATAGAAAATGTTATACGGCCGTATAACCCTATCAAATTCAGATATAGCCTGCTTGCATACTTTCTAATAAACTGTGTCGAATATATAATCTAGTAATGTAAAATTTGTTATCAAATAAAATATTTAATTACACTAACCTACTATGAATTAAGAAAAATAGCAACTGAAGGTGTACCTTTCGTCTTGTTTTTACTAATTATATTTACATAAGAAGAAAGGAGGCAACCATTTAATTTACAGTTTTTATTTTATCATTCCTTCTATGTAATTTCTTGTTCTTAGGTTAGACCAGTACAGTCACGTACATTGGCATGTCACATCATAAAGCGTCATGACGTAAATGTCAGATTTTTAAATCCAAGTCAACAGTCATAACTAGAATCGTACAATGAAATGTTAAATATAAATAATTGACAATTGAAGACATTAATTTTGTGTTAAATACACGAAACATACTACAGCAATATATGAACTAAAAGTGAAGACTAGGGAGTACGGTCACTAACCTTAACCTATTCCTTTTGTAACAAGCCCTAAGTACACCGAAATCTTTGAACAAACCTTGTAAAAATAAATAGTATTGTAGATTGTCATGTCTTAACCGTTAATCACACCGCATTAGATTAAAAATGTATTACTACTTTAATTATACCTATTTAAAAAAAAAAACAGTGTACCATGTGTGTTAGAAATAGACAAGGGCATAAATTAAGGATAGTAACTGATGGTTGTTCAACGATCAGGGGAGTTCATTAAAGAGTATTTTTTAATGAGTAAAAATGGAACTGCAGCCCCGCCTACGCTATCGGTATACGCTGGCGAGGCATCAGTGAGATTGAAATGATGAGTAAGGATGAAAGCAGGTGAGTTTAGGTTGGTTGGTCAGATGGTTTCCAGGAGGAACCGCATTAAAGCCGATCTGATAAGGTATATTGTTAGCAATGGTGCTATTAGACTTTATTATTAAGAGACCCTTTTTCCCTTAGAGAGTATTTATATACGTAGATACTATGCACAAAACAACATACCCCTATTTTCCAATCTACCTTCACGTTTGCGGAGGCGGACAAGAATTATAAAAAAACTAATTCTTTCTTTTTTCACATAAAGTTTACTAGCATATTTTCTAAATAAGTTTGTTAAAAATCACTACTTAACAATTTATTAACATGTATATACATTTTTAGGTTGGACAACGCTTAGGTATGTTGTGATACCTCTTTATATTTCATTATTTTATTTTTCTCCAATGACAAATAATTTGAATATTTTCTTAATGTTCTTTCTTAAGGAATTGAATGACGTATTAAAATTTTCTGAACTCATCATCTACTATTTTTCTTCACCTCCTTCCTTTGAATCCTAATTTTATTTTATTTATATTAATCGGATTACTCACAGCTTAATTAGAGCTCGAATATCCCAAAAATAAATTCTTGAATCTCTGGATCTAAAATTTCACATATTTGTCATCATGTGAGAGGAGTACTAACTCCTCTCTTCTGACGTAGTTTATCAGACGACGACGTTACATGCCTTCATGTGCAACGAACACAGTTTAGAAAATCTCGACACTAGTGAGCGCCACTGTCCCACGAGACGTAGTAGTAGTGATAGTAGTAATAGTACTGACTTAAGAAAATAATTTCGTGTTTAGTTAGGTAGTTAAAAATTCTAATATTTGTTAATAGCTTCAAAATAATTGAAACTATAAACTTTTTGTTTCCTATCGTCACCTCATCGCCGCTTCCAGTGTTACTTATCAGTATACAAACTACATATCTGTCAAGTTGGAGTTAACAATACACAAAATTTCAAGAAAATCGGTCGAATAGTTACAGAAATTACCGTGGACGAATAATAATATCATGACACGGAATTTTTATTTATTAAAATTAAATTGTAGTTATAAAATAGATTTTAATAATTTTAAATAGAATGCAGCAGTGTGAGCTCAATTATCATTTTCGTGAAACGGGTGCTGCTTGTGGTGATTGGTCAGTTCTGTTTGTGACTATTCATATGGCTTGTTAATTAAACCTTTTATTTGTTAATTTAAATATTTGATATTATAACGACATATCACAAGAGTCTGCAATGAACCTACATGAAATTATTTTGATTTTATTGATTTGATATATTTTACGCTAATAAAAATTTCCGCTAGCATAGAAACCGCTAGAATATTCTTATACATTTTAAACAAAATTATAAAAATCTAGCATTTCCATACAATAATTACCCATATCAATTAACTATGTCACTCATGTAAGTAGTCGTCCTTTCAACTGATTTTAATGTAAATTTAAAATTTAAACAAACAACTAATTAATTCATTCAATAGTAATACAAATAAAAAAAATCATGATTGAAAGTTTTGATTAATTTATTTGATTTATAGTGTTTCTGTGATAATGTCAACAAAGTTAAGCCCTTTTAAATCGTATTGAAACAGATTATAATAATTCGTCACCAATAAAGAAGTACATTTTTAGGGTTCCGTACCAAAAAGGTACAAAGGAACGTTTATTTATTCATATGCTCAATAACGTAATTATGCTGCTATTTCAAATTGAATAGGTATGCTCATTGTATTTCTATGACATTTC